AGGAGGTACTAGATATTACTTTAGCGTCTGACTTTTTCTTTGAGAGCTTAGGGAATGGCATGTACTAAACGACCATTCATTCTCTGATCATTTGAAATCTCTTTTGAACCTCCGACTCCGGCTCTGTATAGGAACAAGAGACGTACCGACTGGACTATGTTTAGAAATGTACTATCGGAGTTTTTGATCACCGACGCTTCTCTCAGTAGGCTCGGCTTACTGTTACCATATGATGAAGCGGCGCCTCTATTCGCAAACCCTGCTTCTCTCGGTGAGCTAAGCTCATCGGAACAAATTGAAGAATCCGTTAATTGCATTACCAATGCCTGTAACACAGCCTTCTCTGCGTCCTGCCCAATTGTACGTCCGAGAAGAAAGAGGGAGCTACACTGGTGGACCAAAGAAATCGCCTCTTAAAGGAAGGAAAGCGTTCCCGCTTTCTCTTCAACGCGACCAAGCGTAATGGTTCTTGGTCTGCTTACAAAGCAGCCCTGAGGAAATTTAAGAATGCAGGAAAGCCTAAAGGGACTCCTGGAATGATTATTACGATGACATAGAGAAACAATCGGAGGGTAATCGTTTGCGGAAAGTGGTTGCCAAAATCCGATGAACCCAATGTTTATTCAGAAGCCGAATGGCGACAGGACGTCAGCCCAAGAGGTAATGCTTGAGGTTCTAATGAGCGCACACTTCCCAGGGTGTACTGAGGAGCCTGGAGTTGCTCACATACCTTCTGGGCGCTCCTTAGAAGATATAGATTTTATTGATGTAGAAAGGGTAGATTGGGCCATAAGGTCCTTCCAGCCCTACAAATCTCCAGGCATGGACGGCATCTTCCCTGCCGAACTCCGGGAAACGTCTGAAATTCTATGTCCGATGCTTGTCTCAATCTATAATGCTTGTCTCAGACTTAACTTCATACCCAAGGGATGGACACTGGCGAAGGTTGTATTAATTCCTAAGGGCGGTAGACCATCCCACGTGAAGCCAAGCGACTTTCGAGCGATAAGCCTTACATCTTTCTTTCTAAAGGTTCTGGAAAGATTACTGGACGTGAAAATCCGACAGGAAATTGATATAAGTAAATTATCTAGCTGACAGCATGCCTATTGGAAAGGCAGGTCGATAGATACAGCTTTGCATAGTATTGTCAACACCAATGAAAAGGCGATATCGTTTAAGGAATATGCACTAGGCGTATTCCTTGATATCGAGGGTGCCTTCGATAATGTTCTCCCAGAGGCTGTTCTCCACGACCTAACTAACCTCAGTCTGGAGCACCCTCTGGTAGAATTTGTTCACCGCCTTCTAGGCAACAGAACTATATACTCAGAGATGGGAGAGGTATCGGTAACAAGGTACGGAAACCGCGGCACCCCGCAAGGCGGTGTCCTCTCCCCACTCCTGTGGAATCTAACGGTCAATACTCTGCTGTTAAGGCTACAGAGCATTGATAGAAAAAAGTGGGTGGCTAGAGTATACTAGTGGTGCGGGAAAATTCTTTTAACTTTTCATACACAACGCATGCGGTTTGTTCAAACTTCAACATTGCGGCCAGAAAATCAAAAAATTTAGATTTTTATTAAAATTACCTCCAACGGCTCGTCAAACCCCATACACAACATAAATGGCTTGCAGCAAGGGGATATTTCGCTGGGTTTGACAAGCCGCTTGTGTGGTGTATTTCGCTCTTAAGCGTAGTTCCCCAGTACGTTTTGTCAACGAAAAATTTCAGAAAAATATCTGAAAACGTTCCATTTTCACAACAATTTTCGGTAATTTTGTTGACCTAATCCGCTGTAACGAAGCGTTTTCCTGTTAAGGCCCGATGCTTCTGTTTTCTATGCTGGGGTATACTCGCCGTGCCCAGGGTCCGTTACAATAAATTTATATTGTGGGGCCTTTGCAAATAGTACTTTATTTAGTTGCTGCTTATTTTCTATCACGTGGAAATTCTTAACATTACAAACATAATATCATTAACGGGACGTAAATTCCTAACGGTGCTGTTCTATCGGCGTTGCTGTATCGCCGCTGTCGCTGTGCGACGCCGGCGCTATGCTTCTGTGCGACGTCGGTTCCCTGCTACCAGGCGGCGTCTGCGCTACTGTGTCGGCGTTCTGCTAGTATGTG